TTCCGATCGTAGCTTCGAGTATTCGGAGGCAATCACTTCGCTAGCTTCTTCTGTAAGCTTCGGCTTCATACAACGAGCTATGTGAATATATTTCCGCATAAAGTTTATAGTTAGAATTTGGTCACTAAAAACAAATTATTATTATGCGAGGAATTATATTGTTTAAATGTAAGTATATAGATGTGTCCAATCCTAAATGTACCTTTTAGAACGTAATAATCCATGCAACAAGGGATCGTATTTCTGATAAACTTGAGTTTCTACTTCCTCAGAAAGAATTTGGTCTGGATTTTTCGTAGTTAATACATCTATTTTACTACCTAATGGTAGTGCTTCTCCATCTTGTTCTTTTGCACTTCTATACCTATGCATTCTAACAACATGTTCACTGATTATCTGATCTTGTTCAGAATCCACAATGTCTAGCATGACAAACAATAAATCAAAACGTGAGAGTAATGAATCTTGTAGACCAATATTTTCCATAGGTGTTTTATATTGATCATACTAAAAAGAAATATGTGTATAAACAAGTAAATATTAATTTATATTTAATTGTTTAGTTAATTTAGAACTTACTCTTCCATAAACTGGATTTGCAGCTGCCAGCACCGAACATCGCGCATTTAAGCTAGCATGTATTCCAGCTTTAGCAATTGTTACTTTTCCCTGCTCCATTACTTCGTGGATAGCTGTTCTATCAATATCTGACATTTTATCAAATTCGTCTATACAAATAATCCCACGATCCGCTAACACCATAGCTCCAGCTTCAAGCCGACGCTCTCCTGTCTCATTGTCTATTGTAACTGCAGCTGTTAATCCTACACCAGATGATCCTCTACCAGTAGTTGGTATTGCTCTCGGCGCAGTACACAGAACATAACGTAAAAGCTGTGATTTTGCAACAGATGGATCACCAATAAGTAGAACATTAACATCTCTATAAAAAAATTAGTACTTAGATCATCTTTTAATTTCTTTAAAAAAGACCATTCGTTATGTACAAAATTTAATGTTTTTTACCCTCTTAATCTTGTACCATTAGGTAATAATTTCTCAACTCCACCAAGTAGTAAACATAAAATAGCTTTTTTTACATAATCATGTCCATGAATGGAAGGTGCTAGTGACTTGCTAAGTAATTCAAAGATATTTTTACATGAATTATTTTTTGCAAGTTTTTTACACATAGCAACATCATCATGAGAGATAGATAGATTAGCTTCCTTGCTTAATTGCATAATATTGTTAGCAATTAAAATTGTTCTGTAAAAAGTGTTGTTTATAATTAAGTAACTAAATATTACTTCCAAAATTTATATTTATTTAACATACTTGAAAGTTCCTGTTGTATATCCCCCATGTTTACCAGGTAAACATCTGAAACTTCCAACAATCTGAACTCTGTCTCCAGGTTTACAAAGATCTACTAAATCATTATCACATATAACATCCACACTTCTTGGTAACTGACCAGTTGGGGCTTTTTCTGGCATTTCTTGAATAGTTAATGTTTGATGATCCTTATATGTAGAAAGACCAAATTCTGTTTCTAATGGATTACCATCTTCATCCTACATTCAATTTCTTAGTAATATGATATAAAATATTATTTTATTTTTAAATTACAAAACATAATATAGATACTTACTGCAGTTGGATATATAGCAGACTGTGGAAATGCTTCAAATGAAGTAAAATCACTGTAAGCACGTTCCATTACTGTCTTTGTCGTGCTACAATAATGAACACTTCTAACAACCTTTGGTCGTACCAAGGAACCTAATAAAATTTAAAATATATTGTTGATGAAAATGTAATAAAATTTATATACAAAATTCATATGATACGTAAATTTTAACTTACATTTTGTAACAATACCTTCAACACATATTAAGTTACCTAAAAAATGTGATGTAAGAGTTCTTGGTGTTACATGTTTGTTTCCAAAACTGCCTTCAAACGCTATAAAAAAATCTACATTTTCTTTTGCATAGTCTGTGTCAATGCTTGCAACAAATTGTTTCAATGCATTTTGAAAAGCTTGATGCTCCTCGAAAGAATTATTTAATAGACTAGAAAAAAATGTATGTCACTATTGAATAAAATATTATAAAATAATAACGATAAATAAGCTAAATCTAGTATACAAACCTTGCTGCACGAGCAGGATTCTTTTTTCGTAAATCGTTAACATTTACGTATAATCTGTGATTGCCTTCTTCAATCATATTTTTAACAAGAGTGGTATAAATCCCTTGATCTTCCTAATAAGTAACAATAATAAAAAAAAATTTGTATCAAATTAGGATTTATGAACTTACCATGTCATCTAAAAAGTCCATATATTCTCTTTGTATTTCTTCGAGTCTTTGATCTCGATCAAGATTATCCATATTTAGTTAAACTAATATGATTATTATAATACAATGTTATTTACACGAATATTTCCTTAATTATAAAATTCGATATAATACACAAGTAAATGACCGGTATACTTCTAGCTTCTACAGTAATTTACGCGGGAAAGTAAAGAAATCGATATATTTTAGATTCGATATATTTCAAAGGATCGATTTTTTCAATAGTTTGAAACGTCGATGAAAATTGATACTTTTTCCGGCAGATGTCAGCACAAATTATAAACTTTATAAAATTAAAAAATTTGTTTCTAATACTAATATTCTTTAAAATCATTTAAAACAAAAGGATAGGATATATGTTAATAATGTTACTAATATTGAAATAAAGTACAATTATAATGTCAAAGTGTTTTTATTTTTTTTATTCGTAATCACTATGCAGAAATATAATTATTTTTCAACGCGAATTTTTTGAATGAGTTTTTCTAGTTTTATATTTCAAGGTCACTTAACACGTAAACGACATTTAGAAATTAGAATAAATGATATGTTTGTTGGCAGAATTTTTATATGCTATTAATTACAAAGACTGTATACTTCATGTACATATAAACAGAAGGTAAATATTACCTTCTGACTTTTGTTATATTTAAAACAAACTGACAGTTTAAGTGTAAGTTTCTCATAGTCCTTTGATTTCATGTTTTGTATTTCCCACTCGATTAAAAGCAACCTACACATTGGTAATATAATTTGAAGAACTAATGTGATTTTGTCTTTTTCTTTTTTTGTTTTTGGTATTGCAATCTTGTAATGGCCACTCTAAAATTAGTATACGTAAAATGCGTATACAAAAGTGCCTAAAATACAGTCAGACAGGATTGAAGTATATACTTTGAGCATAACCGATATTTGCTTTATAAATTAACGTCATCCGTTTTGCTTCTCGTGAATACCATTTTCTTGTGGTTTCAATGGTTTTATTACATCAATTTCATTTAGTTGCTCTACATCTAATTGTTGCTTCTTCTTTTTTTCCGAAGATTTCCTAAAATCATGGAAATGAAATTATAAATGAGCTCCATTTTGTAGAATAAAAAAGAAAGCAGTTTATTTGACATACTTTCCGAATAATTCTCCGTCTTGTATAGTTTCTGGGAGTTTTTTGTTTAACGTTTCTGGAAGGAGTAAGGACATTGCTCCACCGAAAAGTACGCATGATCCGAAAATAACAAAAGGTAAAGGCATCCAGATTTTAGACTACAAAATAACGTATTTCTTATTAATAAATATATTACACAAAGTAATTAGGAAATGAAAATTATAAATTACCAAATGAATGACATATGGAGCAATTACTCCACCGATTCGTGCAAAGGTTGAACTTGCTCCAAGACCAACATTTCGAATAACCGTGGGAAATTGTTCGGCAGTAAAAACGTATATAGCACCATAGGAGGACGTAATCGTGAGCTTACCAATCATTGCTAAGCATACTACAAGCCATTGAGCATCTAAAAACATTAATGAATTAGAATAACAAATTATTTACTAAAAGATAAAATAATGAAATTTAATATTTTTACTAACCAGTAGGTACAAACAAAATACCAAGTAGTGCAATTCCAGATATCAGCATACAACCACATAAGATAATTTTTCTTCCCCAGCGATTCAATGTGAAGATTAAAAATGTGTAAGCAGGTACTTCCACGAATCCAGAAATTACGAAATTGACATAATCGTTGCCACCAAGATTGGAGACATGCCAAGAAAGTCCGTAATATGTACCACTATTTACAAGCCTATAAATAAGAAAACAATGGCATGGTGGTAGTGAATACTGAATACTTAAAATATTTTAAAGCTGAAAAAAGAATTGATATAAAGCGTACCAATTAAAAGATAGTAGAATACTTTTCCTTCTCAAATTTGGATACCGAAAAAGATCGAATAATGATGGCTTTTTATAATCCGGTGTACTATCTTCACTATTGTTGTTAAGAAGCGTATCCAAAGCTTCACTTGGCATCTCCACCCCATTTTCTAAGGATGCCCGTTGAAGAATATCTTTCGCTTCTTGTACTCGACCTTTTGTTAATAGCCAACGTGCAGATTCAGGAATGAACCTACAAAATTTAAGAAAATAATATTTGAAAAATAGATGAGAAAATATAATTTTCGTTAAAAATACTGAATAGGAGAAGCATTTGTCTTACCACCAATAGAGAAGAAATGCAATGCTAGGTACAGTGATAGCGACTTGTAGCATTCTCCAATCAGTTATAAAATACGCGAAACCAGCAGTTAGGATATATCCAGTGGTGAAGAACAATTGGCAGCCAACTCCGGCTACTAAACGCTTCCTTGGGCCTACCATTTCCAAGGCTGAAAGGCAACGTTGTCGTTCTCATTGTCAGTATTATAACATCGCTATAATATTAAATGATGCCAGTAAAGGATATACGAGATTTAATCAGTGTACGAAATTCGTAAAAATTTACCTATAACGTAGGCAACCAAGAAGACTCCACTGGTAGTCGAGCCAACTATTAACCTCAAGATAACGTAGGAAATAAACTCAGGTGAAACTGCGACTAGTATACCGCCGACCAACTGTATGACTAAAGACAGGAAGAAAATTGGTCTACGCCCAAACTTATCGGACAAACCACCGAAAATCATCGAGCCAAGCATGACTCCTACCATAAACAACGAGTCCCCCGTAGCTTTCAACCATGCCTTGTCGCAAACTAAGTTCCACTGAAAATAAAGAAATAAATGTTTATTTTCAAAAATTAAAAATGTTAAGTACTATTGAATGAAATATCAATCAATTGCATAAAGTTTAGTGTAAGAAATTCAGATTTATTGAATTATATGAACTAAATGAACTATAAATACATGTCAAATGTACCTCCGAAATAGTGGTGCTTTTATATTTGCTTCTGTCATAGACATATGTCTCGCATGGCTTCAATCCTTGATTGTTGAGACTATTTGGAGTGACCAGATCTTGACCGAGTGTGTCGCCCGTCGATGTATCAACGTACCTATTGATCCTAGTTTTGTTAATCACACTGGGAACATCAAGTCTGAAACACTGTAACCATTCTTCATGATCATAGTCCCACGGATAACTTGCATTCATCATGTGTGGCGGTAAAATATATGTGGCGTTTTCTGGATTTTCGTGCGGTAAGAGACACCTAAAATAAAAATTTATAATGTTTGTAAATACATATTCTATTTCTCAATGTATATTTTTAGTCAATGTCAGAAAATACTTCCTAATAAATATCAGCCTTAGCCTAAACATGGTAAAATGCAAAGTCCTTTGAGAAATCAATTCTCACCTAGCGTTCATTTGCGCGCTCAGGAAGACACCTACGATCTTATGAAAGGCGCAAGATATCGCCGGCAGGCAAAGCAACAGGTAGATTCTGCGCTGATAGCGGCCAAATTCTCCCATTCGAAGTATAACATCATCGTACGCCATTTTTCCTTGATGTTCCTAATTCTTCTTCGTTTGCGTCTCCAAATCCCCGTGGTCCTTATGTTTGGGGATACGCTCCTAAAGCAATTTCTTGCTGTCGTTGAATCCGTCTCGCCGGAAATAATAATTCTTGCCACAAAGAGGTCCTCAGACCTATGCTGCCTAAATGAATCGAATAATTCGATTCACCAGTTTCAACTTTTAAAAAATGCTCCTCTATCCTTTCCTCTTTGGAAGAAATATTTTACTTCTATTTATATTTTTTCCAAGAACTAAGGTATTTTTTTGTTTGTCCTTAATTTCAAATTTTAAGTTCTTTAAATTACGTTTCAGTTCATATAATAGTTCTTGTTAATTTGCACGTGTAAATCAAAGTTGGCAGATTAGATCATTTTTAATGAAATAAAAGTTTTATCAAAGTCTTTGTCAATGCTACAATACTTTAAAGTATTTCTGTTATAAAACAGCTTAAATGTATCAATATAGAGATATGAGTAGCGGCTTGAGCTGATCGATTTTAGCGATTTGAGCTGATTTAAGACCTGATGATTGACTGTGCTGGCTCGAATTCTGGTATACTTGGATCTTCTTCTTCCACCCTGAAATTCAGAAATTTAACAAGTTCGTGAGATTTATGATCAGCCTTCATAAAAGCTTAAGCAATTCTAATTTTGAAAGTGAAACTGGTAAATCAAGTACGAACGTTGATCAAAAATAATTAAATAATCATTCAGATGGTCACAAAATGAAGTACTATTGTTCGTTCAAAATTAATCGTTTAAGAACATAATTGCATATTAGTGCTTTGTTGTTCTTCTTTTTTCTCATTCCTTTTATCCTACCATGCGTTTTAAAGAAAAAAAACACTTTTTCTATTTAGCTCTATCGATGTTTATATCAAGATAGATAACGACGACATAAGAAAAGGAATAGTGCGATGTAATCTTAAAGTATTCATTTATTCTACATAATCTTTGCTTCTCTATAACTTCGACAGAACTACCGTAATAGGAGAATAATGCGTTGCTAATCTAACAAAGAGCCATTAAAAATTACTATTTCAGTAATCATTGTTTCAGGGACTTAAAATAGAGTAAAATCAAAATTAAGCTCAACATGAGTCATATAACACGTACTATTCGCGATTAAAAAGTATAATTGTTTGTAATGTAAAGGATATGCAAATCGACTGGATAATGACGAAGCTTTCCATTCTGGAGGTATAATGCTGTTCTGAGCGGTATCAAGGATCATCGGGACCAACAGACGTCTCATTCAGACCGGGATACCTTGTAACGCTATACGATGCGATAAGTATTGCGACATGAGCTACGTGTTATCGAACCATTAATAATGCAAATGATTTAACACACACTTGCTCGGTTTTACCGGTTTGAGTTCAACCTAACTACGGGACGCCATCAAGTACGTGTTTGATCAAAACATTCATTGGAATATGTTACTTCTAACAGAAATATTTATGTAACGTGAAAATTACCGTGAATTATTCTCCGGATAAAAATAAACATCAAGTCAGACAAGAATGTTTAATAGGTGATACTCAAGAATGATAACAAAGTCCGTGGTATACTAATAATGAAAAATGAAACAGTATGTAATGGATATGGTAATAAAAAGAAGCGGAATAAATGAATCGAATTTCTGGAATGAAAGAAATCTGAGACGCTTCATGTATGTTACTTAAAACGAGTCGAGAAGATTTAAACAAGTATACGAATATTTAAATCACTCGAATTATTGGAGTTTTACGATTTAGCGAATGATAAATCTGCTTGAATAAGTTTCCTAATCTATTTTAAATAGAATTCATGAGTTATCTAAAGTTCATAATAATTATCGTGTCATATATAAGTTATAGCACTAAATTAAATTTATTCAGTTTTTTAAAACAGTGTAGCCTCCGAATAAATAAGTCTAGAACAACTTTTATCAATACATATAACTATTAATGTCTTAATAAGAAGTACCCTGGGGAAGAAATAATCAAGAGTTGAATAGTAATCCAGATAGTACGTAAATCTGCTTAGACAAATTAAGGTAAATGTATTTTTGAAAAACAGTTTCCACGGAGACTAATTATCGTCACAAAGCAGTTTCTCTTATGAATTCGTAAATACAAAGTCGACTTCTATTTTAGTGAATTAAGAAATAGTTAGCTAATTAAAGAACAATTCGTAAATGGGAACAATTCCAAATAGCTGCTATTTACGGTATATTTCAGTTGTACCTGAAAACTATATGAAAATGAGTCTATAATTGAAAATCAACTGATTTCACGTATATGAATAGATTAAATATGTTGTGAAACATACAAATATTTATATTGCTAAATAAGTATAATATGAACTTAATAGGACCATGGGTGCGTGTATGGAGATCTTATGCAATATCATTTAAACTTCCTGAAGAAAGTACGCGCTGACTCGCGTGTCAGGCTGAAGAATGACAGTGAACTAACTGTTCTCTGCTTCCACTCAATGGAACGTATGAATCAAACGTATATACTACCTCGTGCAACCTTTACTGTAGAACCATTTTTTAATTGAAAGCTTCTGCAAGTAGATAATTTATAAAGAAGTGATGCCTATATTACAGTACAATTCTTTCCGGAAGCTTCAATACGTAATCAATTAACAAAAGATTTTCTTCAAAGCGTACGCAAAGGTAATACAAAGCTACCGAAATTGTATTAACAATATAAATTTCATTCCCTTTTTATCTATTATTATTATCCTATCAGAAGGATATAAATTTTGCAAAACTGTGTACAACCTTGCCAAATATTTTTCTAATACAGTAGAATGACTATAAAAATTCTCAAATTGTTATTGACCTGTATAAGTTCAATTTTAAGGTTTAAAATTAATTGAAAAACATGTCTCTCTTTCTAAACGGATCAACTTCAAAACTATATCTTTGTCTTTGCAGGACTCAAAAGAATATAATCAACATGTTTGTACACGTCACGTGCTACTATATTGTACAAAATACACTCGTATACCCAGTATTAGATATTCTAATCGCATTTCAACTGGATATTTGTGAGTTAAAAGATTCATACGTGTTTCTCCACTGAGTGTATTCACTGATATGGCAAGTTATCACACGCTTGTTAAAGAAATCGAAGAGTTGTTGAACAAACGATCGCGGAGCAATGTTGCGCGCACGAAGGCCGGACGACGACTGTCGGCGCTTTGGCCGATGATACACAGGAACCCAAGTATATGACCCTTCCTCAGAGGTATAGCAGTGGCGCCGCAACCACCACCATCATCGATTGAACGAGCCTACCCTCCTCCTACCCTGGCTTTTCCGTCACGGTCAACGTCGTCATCCACCGGGACTCCCACCAGATTTCTCTTACCCTCGGGATCCTCACGGTCGCCCGACCCAAATGGATATTTGAATGCTGGCGACTCGTTGCAACCAAGGATTGTAAAATAGACAAAAAAATCTTTAATATCTTTCTTTAAAAGATCTTTTTTCAGTAATAAACTAAAAATTTTACCCGTCATTCCTGTTTTTTTTTTTTATGTGTTTTTAAATTTGTCGTTATTTGTATTCGAAAATGTCAATTTTCAACTTTTTATTCTGCCTTTTTCTGCTTCCGTTCAATTCATCCTTATTGGCACTAAAAAAGATTAACTGTAGTTACTAACTAAGAATTCCTCCTTTAATCTTCAGAACACTTTTAAATTTCTGTGCATAAGTCATTAAAGATTTTATTTATGATTATTCAACCTCTAAATCCCTGGACTTGACCTCATTAGAAGCTAAAGATTCTAATTCTTTATTTCGCTCGTCTTCTTGAGCTTACCCTGGTCAGACACTGGCAAACCTGTTGCTCCTCGTTGAATCGAATGATTCACCGTGCCAAATTCATTTGGACAAGGTGGATGAACAGGGGAAATCGGCCAGCAACGTGTGGAGAACATCGTTGAGGTCATGTTGCTGGCGAAGGTTCGTTGCTTTTTGCATTCCATCCTGAATTGACGTAGGGGTTCTTTTGGATCTTCTACCTATTATCTTAATGCTTCCATTATATTCAGGTATAACATATGAATTGTGTACAGCTTCCAAGTTGGAGACAATAAAGTCTCTCAGAAAATTAATAGAGTATTCAGATCCTTTAATTTTTCTAACTTTTCTAATCCATTAGATATCATGTAGATAACTTATAGTATTTATTGAAATTTAAAATGTTTTTTAAAGGATTAAAACTTATATTCAATTACACAAGTAAAAATGACGTGATGACATACTTTTTTGTCATATCCATTATTTCAAAATAAAGTAATATAAGTTGGTCTCTAATTTGTTGTAAAAGGAAGCATAACAAGTAAATGTTATCTCTGCTCGTATAATGTTGTAAGGCAGAAAGACACTATAAACAGAAGATTATCTTTAGATGTGTAATTCATATGTTAACGACTTAAATACAGTGAGTGTAAAAGTATTCATACAGTAATAAATTGCGTCTAAAGTGTTAAAATAATTAAATAACATGTTTTAAATAAGTAATTCGTAATGTAATTAACTCCAAGTAATTTAAACACTTTCTAGATATTGAATTAATTAAATTAGATATGATTTTGCCAGATACATTATTTCATTTGCTGATTAAAACATTTTTTAAATCTGTTTTAGATGTAATTCTATGTTTCCGAATTTTTCATTATAGATAATCCTACTAATATTTAATAGTGGGGTCCACATTCTTGTATTGTAAGCGATGTGCTTTAAATCACTATCTTATATGAATACAAAGTTATTTTCAATACCAATTTTTTTAGCACTCGTATCAAGTTGAGTTTTTAAAAAATTAATATATATACGGTGGTCCATTGTACCATCAATAAAATGCAATACTATTTATTCTCACTGTAAATATTTATTTTTCCCATTGCAAGATTTAATGTTGATTGAATTATGTAAATATGTAAATATTTCTGTACCGTGTAAATATCTTGAATAAAAAAATATTTCGGGGTGTCAGTATTTGTACCCTTTTAGTAATTCAAGGAAATATTTATCCATATTGCATTAAAATTACTCTTCCTACATTTCCGTAAAAAGTCATTATGAATCTTCATGCCAATTTAACAAGCAAAGGTATTGATACTGATAAACAACCTATTTCAAAAGCCAATGAAGCTTATATAACAATCAATCAATTTCGATTAATTTCAAACACAATCAGCATTGAATATGTGGAAAGAAGTCGAGGAAAATAACAAATTTTGACATCAGTAATTATAAGCAAACAATAATCAGAAGAAAATTCACTGTTACCGAACGGACCTAATTATGTACATTAAATCATGCTAGTTCTCAGGATGCAAACGGATCGGGCATCGAGGCGTTGATGTTACGAGTCGGACGAATTGATCGTGCTGTGTGCGTATAACGCGTTCGAAACGATGACAAGGTAAAAAGTGGTCAT